GGGGAAGGAGCCCAGGCCGGTGCCTGCTTCACCTTGGGATGTGCAAACCGAAGGCGGGTCTTCGTGGGCGTTGGTAGTGGGCGGATGTGAATGGGGGTGCAGCGACGGAGGAGAGAGAAAGGGAAATCCGGGTCTGTCTACTGCACATTGGGTGTAGGATCGTTTAGTTGCTAGAGGGTGCCAGAAGGATCCAGGGTGGAGGATCCTAATCGAGTGTAGACGTTGACGTCTGGTGCTTGGTAATATGTGGTGATGATGCTCGAGTGCGCAAACGAGGAAGCGACGGCGGGCTGCGCCTGCTTTTGAGACGAGCCTCTTTCGCTCTTTCCGCGCGCGGACCACTGTGGATGCCCATCCACCCTAACGCCGCCCCCTGTCGGCGCCATGCATGCACTACCACAGCCCAAGGGACCCCGGCTGTTAGCAGTCCCTCATCTACGGGTCAGATTGACCATGGCACCATGCTGTGCCTCCTGCCCATATTGCCCACGAGTATTCTGGGAAGCTAGCCCCGAACCCTACACTGTCCAAGCCGCTCTCTGACTCTTCTCTCGCACTCGACGGGACGCCTTCTACAGTGTGTATGCATGTATGAGTTTCTCTCCCGTTGATGCCTAACGAGCATTGCGCCCAGCCTGTTTTATATTTGTTCTGTTTTGGGTGTGTAATATTGGAAACATCATGTTGCTCGCTATATACCCATAATCCTGGACACCCTCAGAGATGCCCCTTCGAGCGTGGCTAGCGTAAGCAGCGCAACTCTGTACCTCCCTTCATTTGCTGTCCTACATGTCGTGCAGCATCGTCTTCGATCCAGCTGTCACCGTTTTCAGCGTGTTTCGTTTGCTGCCGAACGCTCTTCAAACGGCCCTCCTTGCAGCCAACAAAGCTCCACCACACCCTTTCACCCTCCAGATGCGTCGTTGGGCAGGACTCGCGGCTCGCTGCAGCGCGGATGCAAAAACACGGCCCATTCTGCCTGTGCTTCTCTGGCTGCGAGCACCTGCTGGCACCGGCGCAGCTCCTCCCACATGGTCGTCGTACGCAGCCAATCCTGCCGTGACCGACCAGCTACCGAGCGACATATAGCTCGAGTTGATCTCCAGACACCTACCCAGCGTCGCCTTCAGCTCGCGACCATTTCCTAAACGTACCCATTGGTAAACTACCTTTTGCCTAGTACCAACGCTACATGGACCATCGTCGCGGCACACGGCTGGTAGGTTTTGGCTGGAGTCCTTCCCTCCGAAACAGCGGAAGGTCCACCATTCAACGTCGTCCCGCGTCGCTTGGGGCCGATTATCACTGCTAGGGAGGCCCTGTCCACTGCTCAGAGCCGCACTCTATTGCTCGGATCCCTTCTCGAACTTCCCTCTGCTCATGTACCTAAGCTAATTTCCCGCCCGTGAAAATTTTCTCGAATGTCTCACAGCCTCTCCAACTCGCTGGCCTGGGGCGCGCAGCTGTTTACCGCTACTTCGTTGTCTGCAGTCGTCTTCCAAGGCATATGGTACTGTCGATGTCGGGCCCACTCGCGGCTGCATAGCGCTCCAGCGGCGCCGTTTTGATTCGATCAAAAGCGTCAACAACAAAGTAAATGGTCGCGGTTACATGGTTTGATCTCCCCGCTCGCACCTACTACGGCTCGATAAAGCAAGTTCGCAGCGCAAGTACCTCGCTCTTTCAATTTGACTGGCTCCGGCGGAACGCCTGTATCCGTGCTGTGCATGAAGCCTGCGCCTTGGACGCATACAGCCTGGTATCTCCCGTCAACACGCTCCTTGTAATCTCTCGGCACACAGTTCTCATTTGTATTTTGACCCCGATGCTCGGTCCTTATTGGACTACATCGGGCCTTGTCCTTGGGGCTCATCGGGTTGCGTTCCTACCGAGCTTTCCCACAATACTTTCTCGAAGTGTCAAAATTCCCAGTACCCACTTTGCTATCAGACAACTCACCTTGCGTAATCCTTCGCACCCACCAACATCATGCATTGCTATGACTCCCCATGACCTGCAGAACTGTTTTCTCCGCACCCGCATGCTACTATCGTCATGGACTGATTTCAGAATGAGGCTTTCTCACCAAGTGGACCTGCGAGATACGAAGCGCCGTCGATTCTACACCGTATTCCCACCTGTCTCCAAGACGACCACTAGGATAAGACAAACGCGGCGGTATGGAAGCAACTGCGACACCCGCGAGTACTAACCAAAATCGCTATGACGCATCACTCAGGTTTGCGCAGCCCTATCGCATGCAGTTTCATGTCTGCAGCGCTGCGGATTCGCCAGGCATTGCAGGCAACCATGTTAGTCTGCCACGACGCAAGCTGAGCACCGCTGTCGACGACATGCGAGCGCTCTAGCTGCATGACGCACCTCCTAGAATAAATTCCTCGAGCCCAACGATTCGCTCGTGTATTGCAAATTCAATACACCGTAATTGCGAGTATCCGCAGACTCGACGATGTGTGGCGGTGCATATGCTTGGCATGGACGCTCCGAGTCACATGCGCACAACGATTCGCGTTGCAGGGGTGTGGCAAGCGAAACGGTGGATTCCCCTGTGGCGGAATGTCGCCTCAACATCACGGACGTCGGACGAATTATCACAAGCAACGCGCAATACACTTTATCATTGATCACTCTAGGGGTCCGGACGCGTTCGCGATGGGGCTCGTCCGATGGCAAACATCACCATCGCCTTGGTCCGCTTCGTCTTACATTTCATTGCCATCGATCGGCCAGGTCACCGCCGGCGGCCTTACTGCGTCTCCGATTTGACCGCTTCCGTCAAACAATAGCGAATAATTGAAACACTTAGCGACTCTCGCCACACGGACGATGACTCTTTCGACGAAACAGCTTGAGGCGATCACGCGAGCAATTCAGCTCTCTATCCTGTGAATGCTGGTGATATATTCGCCACACATTTCCATTGCAATAGACTCCGCGCTTCCGCAGCCGTCCGCTCATCGAAAAAGCACCACTTCAGCGGTGAGTCATGGTATAGGGAAGAAGCCTGTCCGTTTAGCGAGCCACATGGAAACCAGGCTTCTCCCAGCAGCGCGCTGCATTGACGAGCAGTTTAGACAGGTGGACTTTGTCCTGCGTCATAGCTTTCGCCCACCGCCATATTTGCTTTCAAGCAAGGTTGAAGCATGAATAGTGCATGAGGCTCCGCGAGAGTGACAGGCCAACCCTGACGTCGTCCGTTCGCTATGTGCGTCGTTCAGGCAACGCGTACGAGCTCCGATCAGCGTGTTGAGGTATCGATAATTTTTTCGTCAATCGTCGGTGAGAGGGGTCCTGCGTCTCCGCCTTCCGCTTCGCTGCTATCGTGAGGCGGTAGATCCAGTCTCATGCGTTTGCTTTTGCCCTATCGTGGTAGGCGTCGCTGTGATATCGGAGGACGATTTGCGTAGCTCTCCAATCGCTACACGGGAATGCTATTGCGCCACCCCGGGACTACGATTCCCGTGACCGTCTTGCCGATGCTTGAGACGCGTATAACGGTCTTTCTTCCTTTTGCGGCTGCCGGGCGGGTGGAAAAAGGACAGTGCTTCAGCTCTACCGTGCCTGCTGCCTAGAGAGACTATCTCAACGACATCGACTGCGGATGACGAGGCTTGCGTCGATCGACGTACGATCGGATAGACTAGACAAAACGGTTAGTCAACTCGACCGTACAGTCAAACGATCTTCACGGATATTAGGTATGCCGCATGCATGTCTACCGTCGAAAAGAGCCGCGGAAGGGGTGTTGAGTTGCCACGAAAAGCACCCATAGACTACTCCTAGTGTTTGGTACCTGAGGCTCTGCACAGGTACTTGCTGCGCCGATGGCAGACCGTTCCGAGGGGTAATCGGTACCGGAAGACAGCTCAAGGTGTTTATCCGATGTTGACATGGGAGCTTGTATTTCAAGCTGATGTACCCGCCCGGTATACGGGCCTTCTGGGAGGGGTTAGAGTTGTCGCGTGAGGGGATGGACTTGCGCTTATGTACTGCATCGCGAGACTAGGTGCGGCCTCCGATTATTGGTGGTGTAGCAAGCTCTTTGCTTGTTGCTTCACTTTTGTATCCAGGTATTGTGTATTTGAAAATTTTCTTCCTGCTTACTTTCTGACCGCTCAGGAAGATCTTTACGACCAGGAAGAAAGGATTTCGTCTCGTTACAGGCATGCAGGTTTCCTTCGAACATCGGTGTATGCCAATGGTATTCCTTGGTGATGCATGATTCAGCCTTGTCAAGCTCGTTGAGCTTGCGATCCATCCTGGCTATGTCTCACATCTGATTTCGACGTCTCAGAGTCCGTCTTCTGGCCGGGGAATCTGTGCTCAGCTACTTTCGCTGAGGCAGCTCAACAGCGTAGTATCGCATCTGCTCTGGTACCGATGCTCTCTCATATAGGAAGTCAACTAAGTGAATGCAGAAATACTGCCTAACTTCCCACATAAACCGTCTTCTTTGCGTCAAATGTCACTTGATACTTCTGCTGGGTTGCTCTGTCGTCTAGATTCCCGCCGCTATACAGCTCTCACGCACTCTCACAAGTCATCTAAGGGCAGCAGTCGAGTACCATTGGAAAAGAAGGAGGGGCACGGCTACTGCGTACTGTGCTTATTTACGTATACAAACCTGGGGAATATAGGCAGCCGCAACATTATTTTGGAATCGGGTTGGCTGGGTGAATTTGGGAGTGCCCAAAACTCTGAGATGTCTGTAATGGTGCAGCTTTGTTACCATTGCTGTGAGAACCAACACTACTCGATACGTCGAGGCTGTGCCTGCCTATTAGTATTCACATTGCCGGATCGAGCTTAGTACATTGCCTCATTGGAGGACTCTCACGTGAGGGCGGGGTAACCTCAGGCTCCTTCCAAGGCTGAACCTCTAGGATGCCACCAGATCTGACTCTACACAATTCATACTGCAGTTCTCTCTGCCCATTTCCTCGCTTCTCTCTCGATAATCCGGCATGTGAGAAGTCGCGATGTCGTGCCGCTCCGAAAGCGACGGGTACAAGTCAGCCTTGACTGACCGATTCACTGATCTGAAGGACCCAAAGCCATTCGACTTTCAAACTGCCGAAGTCTTCAAGCACCAACCACTGCAAGACCCCAGTACGGAACTTCGCTATCTTTACCTGCTTCCAAAAACACATAACGTCAACCATGATGGACAGACCATCATCCGCTGTCAGCTTCACTCAGATGCTGAAGAACAAGCGCCCCGCTACATCGGCTTATCTTACACATGGGGGGACCCTGACCTTCGACGTCCGATCCTTGTCGGCGACAAGATCTTCCATGCTACTGTAAATCTTGTCATCGCTTTGGAGCATCTGCAAGAAGAGGAAAAGACAATCACTTTCTGGATTGACGCCATCTGTATCGACCAAAGCGACCTGAGCGAGAAGAGCATACAGGTTCAACGAATGGGCAATATCTTCGCGTCTGCCGCTCTTGTCCTTGCTTGGCTTGGACCTGCAGCAGATGAGAGCGAAGTGGCACTACAAGAACTGATGCGCTACAGCTATCACTGTCCGGATTCTTATGCAAAGCTCAAAAACACATTTAGCAGAGTATATGCGGCTCTACCTTTTGAATCAATCAACGCCTTTTTCGATCGCCCATGGTTCAAGCGCGTGTGGGTCGGCCAAGAAGTTGCGCTAAACAAACATGTTATATTCGTTTGTGGTCCACTCGATATTCAGCGAGAAGAACTACTTGTATGCCACGGGAAGTTCACGGTTTCCAGGTCTATATGGGGAGAAACCAAGCTCTCCGCAATTAACGTCAGGTTTGGCGCCAGGGAGCCCCTTCCTTTACGCGTTTTCCTCCACGAGCATGCCGCTATTCACTTGCTTTTGGGCAGTTCCCTCGAGTCCTCTGATCCGAGAGATTTCATCTATAGTTCATTGGGGAGGATCAGTAGCCTTGGAAATTGCGTGCTCGACGTCGATTACACCAAACGAGTCCAGGACGTATATACGGAATTTGCTGTAGCTGTGATTCGGGCTGGAGAGGTTGACTGGCTGAGCCACGGTTGGCGTCTCTCAGGGAACTACGGGGATCTTCCATCGTGGGTTCCCGATTGGTCCAACACACGGACATGTGGCTCTCCTCAAAACATGATTTTGCTTGATTACGATATTGTGGAGGTTTGCGAAATCGAAAGAGGGGGCAAGGCTCTTAATATCTCCGCTCAACGCATCACTCAGATCTCTCGTGTTGTTTGCAACTCCGCTTTCGACCTTTCAACTTCTGCGATGGCCACCCAGCAAGATGAAGAGAGAATTTGGTTATCTCTGGACACGATCCGAGAAGCGCTTGACGACAAAGAGCGATGGGGCCATACGATTGCCGAAAGAGCCGTGTTCGATCTTTCAACTGGTATATCAACCATGAGGCATGTAAACTACAAAGATCCACTACAAGAAGTCGAATTATACACATCATATATAGTTTTTCGGGGCCTTGAGAATCTACCCAGCGATATGACAGACCTGAGGCAGTGGGCAAGAGATACGAGCCGTGATTATCTCAAAATTCTCCAGGAGCCAAATGTTAAGAATTTCTTCGTGACCGCTACGGATATTGTTGGCACAAGTCAGGATGAGGTGCAGCCTGGTGACTGGGTATGCGTACTTGGAGGTGTTAAGGGTGCATGGATCCTTCGGGAGGTAGAAGGGGGCTTTTATCGAATCGTTAGTATTGCTAACGTCTTTCCTTGGGAAGATGTTGAGACTAGCGATGCGCCCGTCGAGACCATCACTATCATATAATACGAAGGACTAGGAGCTTTGAAAACGAGATTCTTCACGATTTTTGTGTATTCTAAAAGATGTGAGTATACTTACAACACAGCTCCAAAATAATGAATAAACAGCCGCCCTCTACTTATTAGTCGCAAAAGTAAGGGAGAAAAAAACGTCGTTGTCAACAAGATACGAGGTTCCTCATCCTGCCTGCAACATGGACATCTTGCACCTTCCTCGATAGCTCCCACCTATGTCGTAGGCCCCAACATCAACCTTCAACTTTCCTTACTGCATCAAAAACAAGTCTATACATACTGAACTCAAAGTTCATATGCGGCTAAACATCTCAACAGTACGTCATAGACATGATGCAACGGTGTCAAGCAATATTCTCGTTGTATCACTAGCTAGTACGGTATTCTGATGTGAAGACGTCCCAAGCCCATTCCTTCCCTTCCCAGTGATGACCATCCTCCAATCCTAGTATAAAACTGTCCCAAGCCCTTCCCTATCCGATAACGACCACTCTCATAACCCTCATCTTCTCACGGCACGTAATCCTTGTCTCCTTCATCATGGTGACTTCCCTCAGCCGATTCGGGTGTGTTGGTCTCGGAGGTCTCACATGAACCGCTCGTCTCCGTCGTGCTATCTGAATGCTTCAGCATCCGAGTCTTCTCGCGTGCCATCTGCTTCCTCTCGGTGTCACGGTACGGTGGCTGTAGGTGTTCAGGAAGAGCTCCCTTCTTCGTAGGGATTTCTTGTGCGACCCCTTGTATCTCCCCAGCGACTCCATAATCGTTCACCTGCGGGTGAAGCGCTGCAATATGGCCCATCATGTCGTCGAGGTCCACCTCCTTCTTTATAAGGTCGAGTAGCTCCTTCCGCTTGGGGTCGTGCTCTGAGAGGTTGCCGACTTGGTGATTGATGAAGTAGGTGAATTTGGCGAGGTCGTCCTGTAGCGTCGCGGTGTGAGCGTATGTCCATTTTGGAGGCGGAAGTTGATCAGTTGACTGCTCGATTGACTGTTCGGGTGACTGTGGAGCCATTGTGCGGAAGCTCTTCGGAAAGTCCTGGACGCAGCGGTCACTCGTTCCTTAGTGCCTCTGTTCCTCGTCAACAAAGGTCCTGACAAGAGACATGCACGCCTCAGAGGATAGACGCGGAAGAGGTCTGTCCACGCCAACCTAGGAAAAAACTGAACACCCTGGAGCCTACGTTGACGTTGGGCCACCTACTTTGCAGGTCTTTGTCTTGATGTAGTCTGCAGGCCTGTTCAGTTTTTTTCCTGTATGAGGTGTGTCCGCACGACAGAAGCCTCGGCAAGCTCAAGTTGACGGACCTGCCTGAGTACCGTATCCTCCTCTTGGAGCGAAGCCTCGTCCACCGCCTCTTGCGGGTCCTTGTGGCTGACGAACAGGTTTCTCTTGTGTGTTTGGTGTAGATGGGCGACTGATGCCAGATTCTTTCTTCTGTATGAATACGGAGCCGGGCTTTGGGGTGTAGGTAGGGTCGAAGAGTTGGCGCGCAGGAGCTGCATGTGCTGTACGTGCAGGCGACTGCTCGTTGCTCGATCTAGGCTGGCTGTCCCTTCCACCGCGTCCTCGTCCTTTCCCTCGGGTAGCTTTGTTCGGGGAGTTGCTGCGCGAGTCCTCTGCAGCGGAAGCAGCTGGTGAACCGAAGATGCGCTCTCGTGCTTCTGCGTACTTGCGCTCCTTCTCTGCTCGCTCCTTCTGTGCACGTGCTTTGCGCTCTTCGAAATCTGCGGCTGCTTTCTTCCGTCGCTCTTCTTCGCTATCGTCGTCGTCAAGGCTCATGCCTGCCATATTACGGGAGAGCACTTGAGGGGTGGGCTTGCGCGCAAGCATCGTGACTTTCGGCTTAAAAGTTGCTGCGACGGGCGCGGGGTGTACTTCAGGGTACCATTGAGGCTCTGGGTTTTCGCTGTTCCAGTCAGGTCGCGTCGCTAATAATGAGAAATAACAACCTACGCCGCCTGCCAAAGCTGTTTGTTGAGCTCAGCGTGTTGAGCTTTGAGTTGCGCTTTTGTGAGCTTCTTTGGCTGCTCTTCTACGGGCTTCTCGTCTTCTTTCTATACCTTGTGAGCGCGTTGCTGTCAAAGAAGAGGGGCATACGTACGTCGGCGAGTGATTCCCAGTCGTCCTCCCAAGCATCGGCGAGTGTGTTCTTTGGCGCCATGATCTCTGTGAGTGGATGCACTGTCTGGCGATAGTAGAGGGGGTATTTATTCAAAAGCTTGAGTCGCGTGGAGTAGTGATCAGTCCCAAGGTATGATGTCGCCAATATTTCGAGAGTCCCCACCTTGACCCCTGCGGCGGGCCGCGATTAGCTCCTCCACCGCTATGACATTCACTGTTGCCTTCCACCGCGACGAACCATACGCGTCGCAAACCCTTTCACCGCCGTTATCGCCCTTGGACTACCCCGGTAAATTCCTTCAACATGTCAGGTAAGCCTACACTGCGCGCCTACCACTCACCATGTCCAACAAACGACCGCGCATCCAGTTAACCCACCCCTCAGACCGCGACGGCGACTCCACCATGCAATCGTCCCCCGCCAATGTTGCCTCGGACGATGAAATGTTCCCCGACGAAGCTCTTCCAAACCCAGCTACACCGCTCAACGCCAACCTCGCAGGCGTAAACGAAATCTCACCACCAAACTCACAATCCACAACTCGCGAGACTCTCGGCGTCAATTCCAACGGAAAGAGACCACTGTCTGGCGGTATGGCGCAAGCAGCGACGAGTAACGGTGCGGGTGGGAGTGGGACACATCAGGATGCTGAGACAGGTTATCAGTGGAGCAAGCAAGAGGACCAGCCTGGCTATGAATGGAAGAATACTAGAGCGAGGGAGGAGGAGGCGAGGGCGCTGGACAACATTGCTGACAAGGGCTCTATGATTAGGCGTAAGTTACTTCTGACTAACGATCAAGAAGCATGTTAACAGATGTGCAGTGCGATACGGTGACCCGCTCGATGCTAGCATACTCTCGAAGACGAAGCGCTGAAGGCGGTCCATGGACATGCTCGAGGAGCGCCGAAACATACACGCGAAGACTATGGTCACGACGGGGGCTGCGCAAAGCATATGGTATCATGGTTGCAAGTTGCGCGTGACATTCTGGGTATCCGACGTTACGAGCTATACAGACATGCGCAATGCAATGACTTCATGCAATGAGATGACTGATGGGCTTAGACAGCTTCAACATATCTCAGGAAGAATACAACCTATTCAAGTCCATTCCTCGATAGGTCTTGTGTCAAATCGTACTTCCAGTCTTTCGTCCCGAACGCCGTCCCATGCAGTGATATATTCCCATCCAGACGCGACAAGTCCAACTCTCAATCGCTCTCATTCCCATCCTCGTCATCGTCATCATCCTTGTTGTCCTCCTTCTCCTCCAGCGGATCCTCCGTCAACTCCTCCCCAACAACCTCCTCCTCAATCTCGTCGTCTTCAACCTCTTCATCCTCCACATCCTGTGTCTCATCCCCCTCTTCTTCCGTAACCTCTCCATCCCCAGCATCTCCACTCTCCCGCCTAACCCTCTTCGTCGCCCTCTCACCATCATCCGCACCTTCCATGACCACGTCTCCGTTTGCCGCTGACTTGGCCGGTGTGGAGGTAGCTGCATCGGTGGAAGCAGTAGTGCCTTTCTTCTCCTCGCGCACCTTCTTCCTGTACGTGTTCCGCTTGTCGGCTTGTATCGACGTGAACTTTGTGACTTCGGCTTCGAGGCGGGGCAGCATAAAGGAGAATTCTAGGTCCGTCATTGCGTCGAAGACGTCTTTCGGCATGACGGTTTTCTTGCCGCTGGCGAGGGCTTTTTCGGCGGCGCTGCATGCTTGTTAGTGAATGTCCATTTATGGGAACTCGCATGCCATTGGCGCGTAATTCTTCTGTCGCCGGGAGGGAGTAGGGGTCGTACGTTGATGTGATGTAGTTAACAAACACAGTTGCGCTTTTGCTCATAGCAAGGAGCGCATCTTTTTGTATTTGGG